AAAAATAGAAAAAAATTCATGGTGTAAACAATTTATTTTTTAAATCAAAAACTCACTCTTACATAACCCACTTATTGAAATATTTTCGCTATATATTTCAGTCAGATGGATCTCTCAGTCATTTCTCATTCCTTACTGAACAAAAAGTATTTCAGTGAATTGCTAGAACATACCTGAAGAACAGCTATAAACTTCAATTCTCAAAGATATGTTGCGTACCATGTCTTTTGATGAATGCGGATGTAAAGCGCGGTTACAGTTGGTGATAGGACATTTTCCACTAGTGAGTCTATAATGAAATGAGTAATTTGATAAGCAATTAATCTTAATCACACATTAAAAGCTATATATTTCCGCATGGAAATGATGTGATGCACATAAGGTGAGAGGGTAGTCTGTAGGAGCCTTGCTTAATAATCCAGATAACCCTGACTAATCCATTTATTTTGTAATGAGCGAATTTTTGCCCGTCGGAACTATAGGATACAGAGTAGGTCTTCACCCACTAATTATAATTACGGCGACTTTGAGTGAAATCGCTCCGACAACACCTTTCTTGCCGAAGTCAATTTGAATGCATTGGTCCTGGTAATTTTTCCGTGCAGATCAGGAAGCTGCCTCATTTAAGCGACCATGTCCTGTCGACTTATCCGCATTCCCAGCATTTGTTGCTAAAATCTGGGATGTTATGTGTCTTCAGTACGGGGGGCAATAATTAGTATAAATTATTCTATCTTCCGGCACCAAAACACCATCGAAACAATCATCAACAAAAATGAAACGATAATGCAGATAATTGTGCCATATATGGAGCCTCCAGAATTGAAACCAGTCGAGGTACAGCGTTATTTCAATTGATTTTGTGAAATCTTTACTGGGGGTTAACTTCGAATTTTATCACATTCCCATATAGGGAAATTACTGAATAAAAAAATAATGTCCAACAGTCGTCCTAATATGACATAATACTAAACTGAACATATACCATGTAGCCTGCAATATTTACCTTGCTTGGTATGTCAGTCCATCAAATCCATGTATGGCACAGCGAAGGATGGAGGTGTAGTCAATGATAAGAGAAAGGTAATAATTGTTAGCGACTCCTGGGTTGCCATAATTTATTTGATCTAAAATTGAGAAACAAGGAACATGTGAATTAATACATTATTGTCCATAGTTGTGAGGCTATCAGCATTGTGATATCCCAGATTCGTGCGTACCGCTACCGTGGGACAACATTTCTTAGCGAACAAATAGTACTTCAGTGAATTGCTAGAACATACCTGAAGAACCGCCATAAACTTCAATTCTCAAAGATATGTTGCCATACCAATTCGGCTCTATATGCAATAGAATCTACAATTGAGATTTTAAGAACATCACTTTCACACAATTGAAACTATATGTAATTGTGTATGAATCACAAGGCCCTATACTGTATAGTAACAGCGTGTATTTTGTGACTTCTATAACAAAAAGCATATACAGAACAAAATGCAAGCTGTTTTCTTTCATATTCACATAATACCCCCAACCCCTGTATATTGGTAAGTGGCAATTACATAATAGGAAAGGGAGAAAAATAAATCTATTTTTAATAACACCAGTGTAAAATGAATGATATATGGAACTGTACAGCAAAATATTGTGTAGGCATAATTCTTGTCATGCCTTCCATCACCAGATATCATGAAATTATCTTGGTTTTTTAATGTTTAAATTAATCCGTTTAATTTAAAAAGCACAAAAATACCACCAAAATATAGCTGAAGAAAAATACTTTAACCCAATCGCTTCTGTTTTAATCCAGAAATTAATCAATATTCCTGTTAACCTGACACTGCAGTGCAGCTCTAAAAATCATATCAAATTACACGGGATTACAAACAGAAATATAACTCGCCTTTGGAATTTCGTTATTTTCTTCGTTATTTTTATCCTGTCATCTTTTAACCGTTACATGTAAACTGTAAAGGCTTTAGTTATCTTCTCTGATAGTTTTTAAGTCAGGATAGGCAGAAAAACTGGAAAAATAAAGCTTTTTTTATTTGTTATTGTGTATAGCGAGGCGTTGCTCAGCTGCATGCACATGTGGTTGTCACGTGAGGTTGGAGGTGTCAAAAATGTTAGGTTGCCTACCCCGTGGGGGTAAAATAAGCTCGGTAATCGATGTCCGGGGTAAAATTGTCCCTAGAAGTCATAATTGTCAAATTTTCGCCAATATGGTGATATGGAATTTTGTATGCACATTTTCCAGTTTCCATTTGTAAACACGTTTGTTGGAAATATCACTACAAATCGCCAAAGCGACTGTATTTCAAGTAAAATAGATGAAAGTATTGATCCCAATGTATACTACAAATATTTGGAGGTTTTTAGGCGAGATTTTTGGAAGGCTTTGCGTATTTTCGCTTCTCTAAAATTCAATTTAAAAAGTACAAGTTCGGCAATAAATATCTTGGCTTATAGGAAAGCTTTTGAAATGAACTGAATTTATACAAATAGGTAAATGTTTTTTCTTTGAGATAACACAATTTCTAGTTGATTTGATAAAATACTTCCAGATAAAATCAAATTATCTGTGTGCGCCATTTACGAGCAGACAGCAATGAGTTTAGTGATCTCATATTTATTAAAATGGGTGAAGTATTCGCACAGTAATCACAAGTTTAAATCAGCTTACCACTTTGAAATATCCTCTCATCGGACGTCTAACTGAGAGGATCCCTTAAACATCGAGAATACTTCATTAACAAGTGCCGCATCCTGTCCTGTTTGAGAAGTTACGAGAACTTCATCTTGGGTATTGGTTACTCCTTACTCTGTTGGAAGTTCCATTCTGTTGTATGAGGACAACACTTGTAGTTGGTGTGGTGAAAGGATGCAGATTGTCTGTTGGATGTTGTTCTTTTGTATTAGAGACGGACCACATTAGATATCAGCGCAAAATTGACACATTCATGGGACTCGAACCCAATCTCCTAAAAAGGAGTACCTGAAATGTGTTCTTTGTGTGGCCAGGAAAAAGCGAGAGCTACAGGGCAACTCGCAAACCGACTGGCAGACAATACGAACGTACAACACAAAACACACAACCGACGACACAACATCCAACAACCCACAACCCACTAACTCTGTAGCTGAAACGACAAAAAATATGGTGAGTTGTTCCTAAAAAAGGAATCATTCACGATTAGCATGAAGGCAATTGTGGCTAGGGTTTTAACTGAGGGTATGGATATGGGGTGGCTTCTTAGGGTTGGATACTGAAACTAAACTACGATCGTCTTTGTCTGAAAAACACAAAAAAAAATTATTAGTAGCTCCCTAGAAAACGAAGAGCAAAACACAGTTAGACAAGCAGTGAGCCGTGTTTCCAGATACGGGGACAGAGATTCTTAGCTAACAGAGTGGCCACGGGGATCTACTTCTATTAAAAAAATAATTACACATACCTTGATCCTACCTAAAGAAAGAACTAACTTACCTGAAGAAAACGGTCGCAGACGGCTCTGTTTTATAGCGTGTAGGCTCTTGCATAATTCAGCAAATTAAGACAACTTGATTGGTTATTTCTGTGCACAGGTCAATTTGTCATTGGTCAATTTTTGTACTCCACGATTGGTTCAATAAAAACCAATCAGATTGGTTAATCTATATTCAAATTTTGATCCCGTTTCTTTGATATTTGCAAGGTGATTGCACAACAAATGTTCGATTTCACACGTTTTGGAGCATATTCCAAGCCAATATATCACAGTATGTGTGTATTTGTTCGATTATTTCTCTCATGAAGTTCACAAAAAATTACAGTTCAATTAAATAGCTTTTTTCCCCACAAGCTTTAGAACCCCATCGAGCAGGAAAGTCGGAATTTAAAAGGCAAGTAAATCTTTCAAACTGTTGTAGCATTTAAATTATGTGGTACATTTAACTACTGAACCTTTCAGAATATTGTCGAATTGGGCATGGCATGGAATAATAGTGAATATAAAAAACTGACAAAATCTCAAATGCAGTAAATTTCAAGGCTAAATATTGCAAATTCCACTGGAAATATGGCGTTTTACCGCCATGCATACATAGCTATTCACAGGTATGATATTCACGCGTTTTATATATTCAATATTACACATCAAAGCGGCCTAATGCTTAGGATATTGCCCAAATTGCAAACAAAAACCGGTTGCAGTGGTTTAGTTCAAATATTCAGTACTATTTTGATATATTTAGCGTCAAAATCGATTTACTATTTATATAATACTATTTCTTCGATTTCTTTGCACATCCTAGCCCAAGAATTACTGAGAATTACAACAGATTGATAACATGTAAAATTGGGACATTTTGAAGACAACAGAGTACCAAAAAAGCGAAAAGATATGGAATTTCTAAAATACATCTTGCTATGGGTGAGTAATTTGAGATAACAAAGCAACCTATTATTTTGATTAATGTTTTTACTTATAATACAAATGCAGGTTATAGCTATATGCTGGTTGGAATATACTATTCAAATAATCGTTTCAACCGCTATAATTTAGTGGTATTCCGGGGTCTTTAGCCCAAATATTTCTGAGATATTTAATGTCTTGCTTCTGTGCAACATTATTGTCAGGAGTAATAGCCTATTTTGCTGTACAGTTCCATTTATCATTCATTTTACACTGGTGTTATATAAAATATAATTTTTTTATTCTCCCTTTCCTATTATGTAATTGCAGAACGAATATTCAATATATTAGTGTACCACATAAAAACTCATTATGACAATCGCTATCGGACGTCTATTGCATCGGAGATACGACTTGTGGTAAGCCAAATTCCATGTTTTTTCTCGCGATTTTTTTATGATGTCTTACATTGTTGTTTTTTAAAGATTCTTCAATGTTTCCTCAGTCTGCGAGCTGAGAACATCTAGGCCTTGTGCAAGACAAAATTGGAAAAGTTAAATTCACTTCGTATGTTATTTGTTGTGAAAGGAAAAGGTTGGTTAATGATGATAGTGCAACGCATGTCAGGTATTCTGCTTCCAAAATTCCTTCTCTTCTTAGTGTAATACATCCTCATTTTTGTTTTAATTCTGCAGAAGATAAGACAACCGGGATTGTCTCACTTCCTTACAACGAGGCAATGAATGTTATTCTTGTGTGCTTACAACAGGTAAACTTTTCCATCATAATATATCATCTGGCATAAAGTTTCGATTAAAGTTCAACTTTTTTTATTTTCTAGAAATTGGAATTGGACGTGTTGTATGTGGTTCTGAGAAACTTTCCAGAGGCACTGCAAGATAAAAACTTGATACATTCTTGAAAGCACTACTTGCATTAAATATGTACAGTGTTATCTAAAATGGTAAGGGAAGTTAAGTTGTGCACTTTTCACACCAAAATCATGAACTAAAAATTTTACTTTGCATTCAGGTTTGAAATTATGATTTTCTTCCTGGATTATTTCGTGTTCCTCATGACATGCGCCGACCTCATTTGTACGCTAGAATTTTTTCAGTACGGTTCTTCTCATTCAGTTTTTTGCATCTATCATAATATCTTACCATAACTATACTAAAACCATACCATACCATATAATCATATCATATAATCATATCATATAATCATATCATATCATAACTAACCATAACCAAATCATACCATACGATAACCATATAATTCCAAAATTATATCACACCATACCATACCAAGACAAATCATACCATACGATAACCATATCATACCATTATATCACACCATACCATACCATACCATAACCAATTTATACCATAATTATATCATACCATACTAATGATTTAATTGGATATTTTAATGTAACATGTGAAGGTATTAACATAGCTGTGTACGTACCACATTTTTATTGGTCAAGATGAACAGATAAGAACCTGCTTGACTTTATTTTCAGCGGTTGTCTGTTCTCGCTTAAACGTTGTTGTATATTTCGTCTAGTTTTGTCTGATGCGCACTTTGGAGATTGGTTTGGTTGCTCATTCCACGACCTTATGCGTTTCCTGTCTCACCATATGTATGTTAGAAATGCTTTGCCAGTTATGACAAGGTATGGCTACTTAAGATAGTCTGGAATTTGAGACTTTTTTATGTCCATTAGCACTTTGTAAAGAATGAAGTTGGTTGAAGTAATTGCAATGTTTTAGAAGTTTATTGCTTTGGAGATATTTGAAATCGTGCCTTGATAATGCACTCAGTGAATTTACAGAAATGTTTTTCAACAAAATCCAGCCTAAATGTAACGTCTCTTGTTATGCGAGATACTCCTTCACAAAAACAAGATTTTTTGAGCAATAACTTCTAGATTTTCGTTCCTTAGACTGCTCCCAACATATCTGGAAAAGTTTACCAAACTTTCGCCAACGCCTCAAGTTTTCATACCACTGTTAGAATTTCTCTCTGGTATGTTTCTTGAAGTTACGTAAATTAGGAAATCTTTTGCGAAATATCAATGTACCCCCTAAAGAGAGCTAGCTTGTATAAACACCCAATCGTATTCGGCGAAAAGTTGTTGATGAGTTGAAAATGTTTCACCTTAGATACTCTCAATACACGTAACTCTTGCTGATAATGTCATTTCATCCTGGTTTGTCAATTTTCCACTGTTGTTAAGAAAGCAATTCGTGCCATTTATTAAAAAAGTAAGTCCACATCTCATTCTATTGCCACGGAGATTGCTTGCTAAATTTTCAATAGATATTAAGAAGTGGTCTTTAAACTTTATACAGCTTAGTCAGTGTTGTTACATAAACTTGTCCATTTCATGTTACATAATTTTGCTAATATGGAAGCTCGTTTTCAATCATTTGAAAACTCTGTTAAAATATATGTCCTTGTATTCCTTTAGAGTCTTAACAACACAGATATATGTTCAGATGCTGCAAACCCATACCCCAAAGTCACTCATCCCTCCACCAAATTCCAGTCACCCCCAAACTCCCTTGAGAAATCAAAGGAAGACTACAGCAACACACTTAGTTCTGAGATGATGGAAATCGTGGTTGATATGATGGTCAAATATACATTTCTTCTTATTTGACCCAACCAAAAACGTCTGTATATTGGCT